AGCCAGTCACAAAAGGCCACATATTGTAGGAGTTCATTTATATGGAATGTCCAGAATAAGTAAACCCATAAAGTCAGAGCTACTAACGGGTAGAGGTTTCTTTGTCAAGTGAAGATGTTCTGGCATTAGATGGTGGTGATAGTTGCACAACTGTCTAAATAAACTAAAAACCAGTGAATTGTATATTTTAAAAGGCTTAATTTTATGGTATATGAATTATATCTCAATAAAGTATTTAAAAAAGGAGTCAAATCCCTTTAACTACTAACAATTACTTTGTTGATTTTATGTTTCTTTAACACATTATATACTTTTCTCTTTTGTTAAGCAGAACATACTAGGCAGTACTGCTTTTCTGAATATACTCAAGGTCATCACCATAAAACATCAATTACTAAGGAGCCGTATATTCAGAGAATTTGATGGTGTCCAGGCTACTCGCCCTTCACATAGTACCTCCAAACTACTGTTGTTTCAGTCTTCCACCCGTCTACTGTAATTGTTTCCTTCTTCTACGATGAGAAATCAAGAAAAACCAGAGATTAGAGGCAGGAAGGATATATCAAAGAAAAGGCAAACGAGAGCGCACACAGGTGGCCCCATACACTTCAACAGAGACTGTTTCCTGTTTTCTTCCCCCTAGATCCCCTCTTCTGAGGCAACGTCTACCTTTCTTACTAAGGATGAACGTTTCCAACCTTTCAAGTTTACTGTCCACAACGAAGGGGAAAGCGAGGAAGCTCACTCAAGTATCTGAACTGTGGAAAACCTCAGATGACACTGACATTCCCCAAACTTGCCTGATTCTACCTGAGAACCCACAAAGGACAAAGACTGCACAGACCATCAGGTTCCAGTGCGTCCTGCCTGCTTCACCGCTGCTCAAAGCACAGCCTTAGGACAGTTATTACACCCATTACTGACTTATTCACACACACCCGCCTGGCTGACTGAGGACGCTTGGCCTCCTATCTATAGCTACAATGAACATTTTCTCTGCAAAAAATGTACTCACTATAGCAACTGAACATAAGAAATCCATTTTGGAATCAATATTCTTTCTTTTACACTAGTTGATGGAGACAGTTTGAGATGCCAGGACTCCCTGCTACAGTCCCCTTGTCACACAATCTCCTTTCACCCTAAGGCCCTCTAAATGATCAGCAGGCCAACGGATCCTAACCAACCCCTTCACAGTTGACAGGACCAGGGTGAAGACCTGGCCTATGGAAGCAAAGCAACTGGCTAAGAGGAGTTAGTCCAATTCTCTATCTTGAGTATTTTAAATACGGGCTATAGAGACTAGAGTCAGATGACGGTGAGCACTGAAACTAGAGTCAGGACACACAGGATCCATGATGGAAGCCACAGCAGGCCACAACTACGTGAAAATTATGGTGGAGGAAGGAAGCTACATGTAAGTGGAGAAATCTCATCTGCAAGGAGAAACAGGAACAGCAGAGATGAGAGGCATGGTCTCCCAGAAGAGATCCCAGCTCAGCCCAAGGGGTCTCCAGAGGAAAAGTCTACTTCAGACTCTCCAGGTCCAGCTCCCAGACTGTCCAGCTGCACTTCAGTTTCTATCCTGGGAAGCTGAGACTCCTTCTGCTCTTATACAAAAACCACCTTCAGGGGGCTGGCCCCATGGCCAAGTGGTTAAGTTCACACGCTCCGCTGCAGGTGGCCCAGTGTTTCGTTGGTTCGAATCCTGGGCGCGGACATGGCACTGCTCATCAGACCACGCTGAGGTAGCGTCCCACATACCACAACTAGAAGGACCCACAACGAAGAATATACAACTATTTACCGGGGGGCTTTGGGGAGAAAAAGGAAAAAAATAAAAAAATCTTAAAAAAAACAAAAAAACCACCTTCACTTAACTAACTTGAGTAGCCTATGTCCCCTGCAATCAAAACCGCTCTAACTAAAGTAGGGCCTGATTACCCTCCCTGACATCAAGTGCCCTAGTGTGCACTTTCTGTATAAATGAATCCCAAAGGCCTGATTACCATTGTTTATTTATTTTTTGGGTGTGTGTGTGTTTGTGTGTCTGTGAGAGAGAGTGAGATTTTGACATTTTATTCAAGGCACAATCTCCCACCTTGGGGTAAGGAAAATATTGCCATATATTTACTGTTAGGACTCTACAGCTATTTTTCTCATTAGGTTTTGAATCCATTTGGAGGGTTTTTTTTAAATTGTGGTAAAATATACATAAAATTTACCATTTTAACCCTTTTTGAGTACACAATTTAGAAGCATTAAGTACATCCACACTGTTGTGCACCATCATCAAAAACTCTTGTTTATTTTTAACAGAATTCTGAAAACCATGATTTTTTCATTCTTACTAAATAAATGACTTTTGCCTATGCTCTTTCATCAAATGACAAGGGCAAAGACCCTCATCTGAGGTGGTACTGTGGTAGGCTGGCGAAGAAAGTGGCAGAGAACATCCGCAACAACTTGGAGCAGTCCCAGAGCAGCTAAATTCATCCCCAGTTCCTCTAGACATGGCCACAGAGGCTGGAGACTATAAATACCTGGAGAGGACAGATAACAGCTGTCAAGGATATTCAGCCCAGTCAGAAAGGTTGCCACTATCACCAGATTTGCATCAGAAGACACCCATACAAGCGACAAGGGGTCATATGTAGAATAATCACATTCAGAAGAGAAAGAGTGCTGTTCCTCAACTCCCAGAACGCCTGGAATAAATCCCTGGGCCTTGAATTTGGTCAAGTAATCTATGATCAATTTTTGGAGGACCCTAGGAAGAAAGAAAGTACTTCAAAACTTTTGAGTACCCACTCACCACCTTCTGCTTGTTATAGCTCTCTTTTTAAGCACAACAGCCTCTATCAATAAAATTAAATGGGGAAGAGACCTCCATCAGAAGCTTTGTCAAAGCAAATAATTCAGCCAGCACATTTCACAATGGCAGAGACAGAAGGGAGAACACTGCGCACTTTAACTTGTCCCTCAGTATCTTTAAATTTGAAAGAAACTTTGGATTAAGTTATATTCAAGTTATCAATTAGGTTATATTCAAGGCCTCTCCAAATGCAAGACCTGTAGCACCCCAGGAAGTACGCCCAAGCACAGACCCTATACAATCTATCATAGCGGACATACTAAAACTCCCCAATCCAGATGGGTTTCTTAATAGAAAGAGTCTTATTTACTGACCTACTGGCAATCAATACATTTTAATAACACTTATATTAATCAACTCCAGAAAATACAACTAAATGAATATAAATAGTACCTTAAACATAAAAAGTCTGAGATGAGCAGACACTTTTTCATGTCATCATACATTATTTAAGTCTATTTTTCCAAAACTATGAACTCTCATCCATATCAGAATAAAAGACCTGAAATGTGTCATAGGGAATAACCAAGCAGAAGGAACATTTTTGTGCTGTGCATCTTTAACAACTTTTACAATTTTTTAAACTTAACACTTGCAATGTGTTAAACACATCTAAAAAATTAAGCCCTCTACATACACCAGAAAGGAGGCCCCTCAGTGACTATAGTTCAAATTCCTCCTACATGGCTTGAGCCAACGTTTTAATTCTTGACCTGGAGCAAGCACCTCAAAAAGAAAAGAGACAGTTAGGCAGAAGAGAATAGCTGCATACCAGCAAAAGAAGCCATAAAGCAAAATTCCATACATTCAACTTCATTTTCTTATAATAAGTCAGAATGGAAAGGAACTTTAGAGGTCATCACTAGGACAACCCTTTACCCAATACACGAATCCCCTCAAAATTATACCAACTAACATTATACCAGAGCTGAGGTCTGGGAAAAACAAGATGAGAAGCTGAGCCAGAATCAAGAGCGATAAAACAGTATCAAGGAAGGAAGAGAAGGTTGCAGAGGCCAAGGAAAGAGGCGTCTAGCACCTGGCCTACACAAGTGGCAGCAAGGACAGCAGAAAATACACCTCTAGCTGGGGTCCCTGGTCCCATTCACCAATGTTCCTGGCTATTGAAAGAGAAGAGGATGAGCTGGGAATCACAGTGAGCTTGTTCTAAAAGCCACTAGGAAACCTAGGCCTTCACAGCCCAAGGACTCATCTAGTATTGTTTGGCTCAGGCGAAGACAAAAATGGTAATGCTGACACTACAACTAGTTTTCCCAATATTTTGAAATCTGACATCAAAACCCGTTAACTTTTCGGGGCCGGCCCCGTGGCCGAGTGGTTAAAAGTCAAGTGCTCGGCTTCAGTGGCCCAGGGTTAAGCCGGTTCAGACCCAGGGCATGGACCTAGCACCACTCATCAAGCCCTGCAGAGGCGGCATCCCACACAGAAGAACTAGAAGGACCTTCAACTAGAATATACAACTATGTACTGGGGGGGTTTGGGGAGAAGAAAAAAGAAAATGATTGGCAGATGTTAGCTCAGGGCCAATCTTTAAAAAAGAAAAAAAACACCATAACTTTTCATAAATACAACAGTGGTACAGTTTTGAAAATTAGGGAGTGTTTACAGGGACCCTCTACCATGAAATATTCCTTTCTTCAAGTATTTACAATTAGATTCCTTCCTAGAAATTATATTTAAATAATTTTAAAAGAATTTAGTTCTTAGAGAAAATAATAAACATCATTTAAGTCATCTTCAAATGCTTATTCACGTCTATCTGCTCTTATGTTCTTCTTAGAGCATCTACTTAACGGAGAAAGCTAAAGACAAGACCAAAGACCTCTGCTCCCCTTCAGACAACACAAAGCTCTCGTTTCACTTAAGGGTGGGAGGAGATGGTATCCACGTTGTCATGAGGTTTAAAGAGTCATCTCAGGAGTAACACTGGGTATCAGTCAAAATAGCTGCAGTTCAAATCGTCTACTCTAACCATAACTGTAACTGAGCTAAAATGACTTCCAAATATAACACACCTTATTTCTAAACGTTTCTTGGCAATTAAATACCTAGAAAGTCAAAAAGAAACAAGAAAGCAGAAAAAATGAACTTTTTTAAAGCTCACCATTCATCAACTACAGGAGGCTCGAAAGATGCCATACGCTGGAGGCTCAGCCTCAAACTCGGCCCTGTAGAGGAAAACTCCAAATAAGATTTCTTCAAAAACTGCTCTCACGCAGCACTAAATTACAAGCAGTGACCTCCCTGGAGGAGAAACCGGAGGCAACAGCTACAAGAGTGTACAATCTAGAGGAGAGGAAACCTAACTCCAACACAAGGGATGCTATGCTAGTTACATAATAATAACAAAACATATTGAAAATGCAAATCTCAAACAATAATGTTATTTAAAATATTTCAAGAGAAACAAAATGCCCCCACCCCAAAGTCCAAATGCATTCCAAGCGTAATCTGAACAGAACATAATTTTATCTCCAGGCCTACCCTCTCTGAAATAAAGGAGAATCCTCCAATTTAGTCAAATTACAACAGAAATGCCACTTTAAAACAAAGGAGCTACAGCATAGCACTCTGAACTTCATGGGAGAACAAAAATGTAGTGTCAATATGTTCACAACACAGCTCAATCCACAAAATCATGAGATAATTAAACTGACTGTTTTTAGGTTTCAATCTGTTTCGCCAGAAACCTTGTCCAAACTACACTGATGCAAATCAGCATGAGCAACTCTAGCTCTATCAAAACAACTCCAGTGTCTTATCTTTTGTTTTACCTTTTATCGCTGATTTATGGGCTGACTGATGGTAAACTGATTTGCGCGTGTGCCAGAAGTCAGCTCAGGAATACAAAACACAAAAAGAGATTTAGAAGAATGAAATTCATGAATGAAAATGCTGACGTCATAGTTCAGCTCCCAGCAGAGCTTAGGGTAGTCTGTGAGGAACCGATGTTAAATCATCAGCCATTTAGTGAAGGAGATGAAACAGAAAAAGCCCCTGCTCAGAATAAGGGAAGGGGAAAGAGAGAAAAACTGTATTAACAACCTTTACCCTAGACCAAAAATGAAAAATACACAATGTATAAGCCACAAACAAGATAACTTCTAAACCATGGAACTGTTTCATACTATTGTTACAAGTAAAATTTTCAAAAGATATGATTGGCGGCTGGTCCCAGGCGTAAAGTTCACACACTCCACTTCGGCGGCCTGGGGTTCACCAGTTTGGATCTCCGGTGAGGACATGGCACCGCTTATCAAGCCATGCTGTGGCAGGCATCCCACATATAAAAGAGAGCAAGATTGGGCTGGTCCCGTGGCCGAGTGGTTAAGTTCGTGCGCTCCGCTGCAGGCGGCCCAGTGTTTCGTTGGTTCAATCCTGGGCGCGGACATGGCACTGCTCATCAAACCACGCTGAGGCAGCGTCCCACATACCACAACTAAAAGAACCCACAACGAAGAATATACCACTATGTACCGGGGGACTTTGGGGAGAAAAAGGAAAAAATAAAAAATAAAATCTTTAAAAAGGAAAAAAAAAATAGAGGAAGATTGACACAGATGTTAGCTCAGGGCCAATCTTCCTTAGCAAAAAGAGTAGGATTGGCAGCAGATGTTAGCTCAGGGCTAAACTTCCTCAAAAAAAAAAAAAGGGCGGGGGCTGGCCCCATGGCCAAGTGGTTAAGTTCGTGCGCTCCAATGTGGTGGCCTAGGGTTCGGATCCTGGGCACGGACATGGCACTGCTCGTCAGGTCACATTGAGGTGGCGTCCCACAGGCCACAACTGGAAGGACCCACAACTAAGATAAATAACTATGTACGGGGAGGGGGTAGAGGTGGGGGTTGGGGAGATAAAGCAGAAAAAAGGAAAAAAAAAGATTGGCAACAGTTGTTAGCTCAGGTGTCAATCTTTAAAAAAAAAAAGATATGGTTAGTTGTGTCTCTAAAGCAGAACACAGTCCCATCCCCACCTTAAATCTTTCTCCCATCATGTGCCATCTCATCCAAACATAGTTTTAGGTCTTCAATGAAAACCAGCTGGCATTGCCATACCACGTCTAATTTTAAGCAATTGTGAATACAATGGGGTGGGACTCAGTGACCTCAGGCAAGCTACTGGAATGTTTAAGTGAGAGGGAAAAAATGCTTTTATCTAATGATGTAATATAAACTAATAAAAAAGATTATAAAAATTTGATTTACCTAAAACTATTAAAAGCAGCTACTAGTGTGGATTGTTCAAATTTTTCATCTCTTGGCAGAACTGAAAATCCAACTAGTACCACATACAAACTTCTATAAAGTTTAGACACAACTTACTAAAATCTTTTTATTCAGGACACTTAAGTAACTGATTCCTAGATTCCTAGTGCTTCCCAGGAAATTTAAGATTATTACATTCTTAGAAAATAAGTGACCCTTAGATCCTTGGTAACCTCTCCAAACCACAAAACTACAAGAACATTCTGTCTTCTTTACCATTCATGTGGCTTAAAATAACCATTCACCCAAAATGGATTTTTTTTTAATTTAAGCAATAAATAATTTTGCCAATAAACATTTTAAAAAGAAGATCTTATTAAGTTAAAATGCAAACATACCAGTTTTATCTGTAAATCTACAATGTTCAAAGAGATCATCTCACATTTCCACCACAAATATCTTTGATAGAACATCACTACCCCCTTGTGGATTCACAATAAAAAATCCTTATCTTCAATCTTCACTTTTTAAATGTTTCATTCCAGTGAACTTCCATTAAAGTTTACATTTTCTTCACTAAGAAGGGTTATTTTATTTCAATAACTTTTTGAAAAAAGAAAAAAACATTTTTAAATAACCAATTCCATCAACTTCTTTATCTTCTAAACATCCCCATTTTGGGAGTGTTCTTTATACAGTAGGTATATGTGCCTATTTCAACATGGTAACCATATCAACATTCCATTTTTCCAGAGAATATCTGAATTTATACTTCCAATCATCACTTTCAGATTATTTTTTTAAATACATGGGTAACTTCTTCACTACTGTAACTTTTTTCTTTCTATTTGATAATTTCACACTTTCCACCAATTTTTTATTGCTTCCAAGTGGTTTGATATCCAAGTGCCCCAGAAATCCAATGGGGCACATACATCCTCAGAAATGACTCTTCAGACAAGATTAAAAACCAAATCTAAGTTTTAAAAAGATTCTTGATTGTATTCTACACCTTCAGAAATGCTTCCTGGCAATCTAAATCAATCCTGATGAAGCAAAAAAAGATAATACCTATTTTTCAAAACCAGAAATAAAGGCTTTGTTTTTTTTCTTTTTTATTAGTGCAACAGCACCTCTGGTTGTATGTATGTACCATTCTACTATAACATACAGATGCATCTTGTTAAATGTACACTACAGAAAGGATTAAATAAACTTAAATATCTGGTTTCTCACTCGTTACAGACAGATTTAGCTGAAAGTATAAACTATCTCCACAATAACGCACAGGCTACAGAGAAAGTCCTGACGAGTCTTCTGCCGTTACTCAGAGTTAACTCCCCATCTTCTCACAGATGCTGAACACAAAAGCAGAGATGCGGTAATTTACTATTATTATGAAAAGACAAATTCCAGTATTCATTCCAATGGTTAGGTGAAAATAAAAGAGGAAAAATAATCCACTTTGCAAGTGTTTTTAAGTGACTAAATACATAATCTTACCTTATGGGAATTGATAAGGAAAATAAGAGACAATGAGTGGTCTGTGAAATAACTGAATGCTATGTGTTCCAAAAGGCTTTTCACTTGTCACCCCCATTGAAAACTGTATATACAAAAACTATGAATTAAGCAACATGTCGAAAGCTAGTGGCTGAACCATGGGGTAGGAGCAGTCAGAGCTGGCCTTCGTGGAATTTGGGGGGATTTTGTTATGATTGTTGTTTCTGGATTTTTTTTTTTTTTTTTTTTGGAGAGAAGGCAGGGAGAGATATTTTGGATGACATTAGGAAGTGAGATTAGTGATGAGAGTAAGCCACTTAATTAGTCTCCAGGTAGTAACATGGTTAAAACTGTTAAGAACACAGTCGCAAACATTTCTTACAATGCATGTCACTTTGTGCACTTGTAACTATGGAACCATACTGCCGAGAGCAGAGTGAGGAAAACAGCCCCAAACCAGCACATCTCCCTCGCAGTCACTCTCTGCTAGTCTGCTCAGTCTCAGAAAGGGATATGTTACATGACTTGAAAGGCTTGGCTAAATCTGAAAAACAAAAATGTGACCATACTTTTCCAAGTGAGCAAAGAACTCACGTCTAAGAGAACATGGAACTCTATCAAGAATAAGCAAAATATTGGGGTGAATGTAGAAGAACCATTAAAAAAATATCTCTCTGGTCATTCCATCTTATGATATGTCAATCAGTTGAAAGTAAATGAACAATCCTCTAAAAAAGAGTGAAAAAGGAAGTAATGTGGCTGACACTTGGCCTCTCTTTGCAGTGGGGTACATAATATTTCTTTTTCAGTCCAGGGTAATAAGCTAAGAAAATGCTCAGGAAGCATTACCGATCTCTACACAAGGAGGCCCATGACCTTCTACAAGCAATGGCGTTTAAAGCAGAGATGCGATACAACCTTAGAAATACACAGCCAGCATACAGATGGCAAAAAGACACCTTTTACTTTGTCCCACCATATAAAAAAATCGAGGACTGCTGTCCATTTGTCAATATATACAGAGAAATACTTTCTTACAAATACATGACAAATATCACGGAGTGGAAGACCATCTATATGTTTACAAGCCCCTCTTTCTAATGACAGATGGTGACATCTAAACCACAGGACTGATGGACACTACATCCATGGATGGCACAAAATAAAAGGATCTGATAGTGTCTGATCAACCTATATCCTGAACCTGATTAGGTATTCAAAAAGAAAAAGAAAAGAAAGATAGATTACACACTGTAATCTAGAAAACAGAGTGAATGACCAATCATGTTATACGGACAAAGAAGTAGAGAGCAAGAACACTCCTTACTCTCACCCTCAAACACACCAAAGACTAAAGACAGTATTATAACAGGCAAAGTAACATTAGACCACCCCATACAACTTTGTGAATACAGGCCCCAGATGAAGTGGTATACCTGTTGGCTCTGCCCAAAGAAATTTAC